CAGAGGGATCGGCTTTGATAGCTGGAAAACAAGCGCGAATGAACTATCGTCGAATCTCGTTCAAACTATTAAAAAAAGAAAAACGACTCGCTTACCCTCGGGACTCTTGGAGTGTCCCCTCGTTCTTGGCGGAGCTTTCGGCTGATTGTTGGTCGTGGTCTCCTGTATGGAAGGCAGTTGTTGGAATTCCGCGTAGCTCGAGCTGAGGAAGACGTCGCCCTCGTTCTCGAACAGTCTGTCCACGCTCGTGTTCATCAATTTGTTATTCTTGAAACCAGTCAAATGGAAGCTGGCGAAGGACGACCTCGACATCGGGTTTATATCACCGGTGGACAGAGCCATTAGCGCCGCGGATGGTATCGTTGTATTTTTAGGGCCGGGACTCCTCGGTCCGAGTCCAGCTTCCAAAGCCGGCACTAAACTGCGGGACATCATGTCGGCGGCGGATCGTGGCCTTGTGAACGGCATCGCGCTGTGCGGGAAAGTCTTGGGCTTTATGGGGGTGATCAACATGTGCTCGGTCCAGGAGGTCTCCAATGACGGTCTTTCCAATCGTTCCACGTCCACGTTCAACGTGCGCTGCGCGAAAGGTACCGCGAACGTCTCCGGTGGTATACTTTGCAGCCAAGAGAGCAGACTCAAGTCGGAATCGCTGAAACCGACCGAGCCGTCCAACAGTCTGGAGAAATTCATTTCCACCTGTCGAAATTAGTGGCCAACGATTAATTCCATGCGATTAAAATTTTATCACAAAAATCCGACTACTTTCATCTTTCCTTTTTCGTAAAATTCTTTTTTAACGCGTTGACTGCCGCGTTACCCATATTCGGATGACGCTTATTGAACTACTTATATTCTGCAGGATAATGAAATTATTAAATTGTTATAAAAATAATAAAAAAATAATTTATTAAAAAAATATTTTCAATGTAAAATTTTAAAACATTCTATCCTTCGCGTTTGATCAGTCCGTTTATCGTCTTTTATCTGAATAACATAATTTGCATTACAGTCTAATACTTATACCAGAATTATTTTACCGAATGGCGATATTATGTTGATTCTATTGAAGGTTTTGACAAGGTTTTGTCGTACTTTCAGATAATCCTAACAATTTTGCAGCTAATAATTCTCTAAATTTTCTAATTTTGAAGTATCACGAATCTCATACTGATACGACAATTAAATAATTTATGAACATATCGTGCTCTGATCATCGGACACGATTACCTGCTCTGACATTATGAGAATTTATATACATTCCACTAAGAAGTATATTTGTTACGACTAGTCGAAGAACATTCCACAAATTATAATCCAAATTAAAATATCCAAAATATACTACATAAATCAGTATTACTATTCAATACTATTGTCGATACGATTACTATTATCAATACTTTTATCGCGAATAGTAACGATGGAAAGAAATGATGCGAGACATCATTCTTGCCACCATCAGACTCGCATTACTAAAATATCTAGATAGAAGCACACTTGATACAACGACGCGCGTGGCGTGAAGGAGATTTAGAAACACGAGTGGCAGTCAACGTGTTAAACAGAGATCGAAAAGATTATGGGGATAGAAATTAATAGAAAATACCTGCTCGCTCTCCTTGGAGCCGGTAGCTTTGGCCTGGCAGTAATTGACGCACGACTCGTACAAAATCCCCTTGATTATCAGCTGTATAAGCCGATCGTTTTTCGCGGAGGTGACCGGATGAGCTGGGTCGGTGCTCTTCCTGTCCCCGGGGAGAAACTTCTCCACCAACGGATGCACCTCTCGAAAGCATTGAACTCTGGCGTTGCTTGGATTCCAATCCTTGTACTGGAGGTGATCGGTGAGCCGCGGAAGGGTCAACAGCAGGCACAGGCTGCTGTACTCCTCCTTGGACGGAGCGACCTTCTCGAGGTCGCTCAAAACCTTGACCACCTCCTCGACCGCGTTGTCCACGCTGCCGTTCGTCCCGGCAGCGATGAAGTTCGCCTCGGACTTGATGCAGAGCAGCTCCACGTACTTGTGCCTGAGGATCGAGTAGGTGAACTTTCTCATGTCGAAATCAGGGAGCGCCTCCAACGGCTGGATGAACTCCAGCACGTCGTCCCATTGCCCGTCGAGGATCAGCTGGCGAAGGAACAGGACATCGTCGCTGTACTGGCCGTTTATCACTCCGGTTTCTCGTTCCAACGAGAGCTGAGAGATGTGAAGGTCTCGGCTGTGGAGGAACTCCAAGGTTAGTCGTACCACATCCTCCTCGCGCAGCGTCAGGTGCGCCGCCGGCATCACGTACCGAATACGCAACCTGGACAATTCCAAACGGAATAACAGGGAATTACAGCCTCCGTCTGTCTGCATCGATCGTGTCGGAAATCACGGTTGTAATATACTTAAAATTTCGTATCTACGTCATTTTTTTTTTCTTTTTTTGCTATACATTGCTGTACACAGTGTTTCATTCGCCGTGTTGATCGACTTTCGTTCTTTTTCTTTTTTTTCTTTTTTATAGAAAATTATGGAAAATTATATTTCGAAACGAGACCTACATAATATAGATTGTATGGAAGCAAGAACGTTAGTAGGTCGATGTCGAAATTGCTCGATTCGTAATTTAATACCGGTCGATAATAAGTAATAATCGTAAGGTTCGACGCATCACGATCTGATTCACCGGAATTGCTGTTCGAACGATGCGTGGTATTGCAAAACTGAAATAATGCCGCGCTCGCAAGGAATGCGAAATCTCGCGAAATCCTTCCTTTTACAAGTTCGTTGCACTTCGAGGCCACCGGCCCTGCTGACATGCCCTGATTGTCGTACGAACTGGGTGGATAGATTCGGACGTTGATCAGCTATCGCTGTTAAACCATTCTTTTCCCGCGTCAATGTTTCGATCGCAATCTCGCGTCACGCGTATTTCCAACGTTTCGAAAAGAGTTGCTTCTCGAATGTTTTCAACAACAAATTCGAATAACGATTGGAAAAAAAAGATTCATGCAGATGCTTCTTGGAAAGAAGAAACTTGATATTTTTCACGATCGTAAAATCCGCTACTTTATATTCCCCTTGAAATCTGTTTCTCTCCAACTTTCCACGAACGATGGGGCGCGAACGACGTCGGAGGATGGGGTGGTAAGGGGAAGATTATCGATTGCCCGCTCCATATGGCGTCAAAAGTTGTCTTCGAAATTCTCGATCAGGGGGCGTGAATTGCGAACCCTCCCGTTTCGCAACACGTTGAGTGAAAAGTGATTCCTCCTACACGTTGACAAATTCGTCAACGGTAAAAATATTTCTTCCTGTTTGTTTTTTCTTTCTTTCTTTCTTTCTTTTTTTTTTTTTTTTTTTTGCCAGATGGACGAAGTTACGAGAATTTCATAAACGAATGACCCATAAAAAAGCTTCCACGAATTCGACAAATTCGTCCAAGTAAACGCAAATTGGCCTGGCAAAAGTGCGTGCCACGCGAATATACATATGTGGCATCAGCAACTTCGCGCGTTAATTTATGTGTTCGTAGCCGAGCGCAGTGCAGTTTCGATCGAAGCTTTAAACGATCAACACCAAGAATAATAGTAATAATAATAATAATAATAATAATAATGGCACAGTTGGCGACGGTAAGATTTCGTTTCCTCTCGATTAATATTTCAATTTCATTTGTTTTTCAATCACAATTCCACAATTCGTGGCAGAGAAATTGCAATACAAAAAAATATTATTTTTATTCCAGTTCGTAATGGCTGTTTTGTTAACCGGCCAAGTTCTAGCCGACATCATAGTGCAGCCTGGATACGAGCATTCTGCGCAACATTCGACGCAACAACGCGTAGCCACGCAACCCCCTGAAACCCTTCGACATTCGGTTCAACAGGATAATCAACAACAAGATCGTCAACAAGAGGAATATGTGGATCCGGGCTATCATTTGGAACTTCATCCGGTGTACGGAAATTCGTATCACGTTCCCAGCTACGCAGTGTTGCCGATGTATCCACACACAGGCGGAACGATGCCATCGATGTCGAAGGCTGCTTACAAACGATTACTTTCCACGTTGGGCATCACCGAAGTACCTGCCATCGTTCCACCTCAATATTACCAATACCTTCCTCCGGTGAGCACGCATCCACTACCGCCTCCACCATAATTTTTTTTTTTCTTTCGAAACAGCTCGAAACAGACGTTGTCTGGATTAACTGGATATTTTTCTCAGGCAGTACACAGTAGACGCAAAAGGTCCAACAGCGAGAAGCTCGATAGTGCAGGACAGGGGAATAAACATGATGAAAATGATGTGGCCGCGAAGCCGTCCCTAAACGACGACGCTATGTCGGTGGTCGATTTGCAAAATCAAGATACTGGTAAGATACTGATTTTATAACTTTACGCCTTTCATACGCGCATATACGTATATAACGATATATTGGTTCGAACAGAGAAGCGCGTGAAAGCTCGTCACAGCGTCACTCTGTTGGGATTGAAACCGTCGAACATGCGCCCGGTGCACCAACAGTATCGCACCTACGATCCCCAACAAATGGCGGGAGGTCAACAAACCTTGTCCCAAGCGAATCCGCAAGAAACGTCGCAGCAGCAGCAACAACAAGCCGCAGCTACCCCTTCGCAAACCTCGAATCCCGATACCGAGAACGTTCAACGCTCGATATTTTTGCAAGATCACGTGTCCCAGCAACCGCAACAATTTAGGCTCGAGCAGAGAAAGTTCCCCGAGCTGAGACCGCTTTCCGCTGGTCAATCGTCGCCAATCGTGGCGAAATCGGACGATCACGTAGCAGCCCGAACCTCCTTGGTGAGAATAATATCAATTTTTTGTGCGAGAAAAATGATTGAAATTCGATGGTAACAGATTTTCTTGGTTCTTGATTCTCAGCTACCCAAACACTCCGGAGCTAATAACGAGGAGATAGTGGGTACAAAATTGGGGGACATCTACAAGATAAAAGTGGTGCAGAATCTGCATCAACACGGGCGTGGAAGAATGACGGAGAACGCGCCCAAGGAGGATGTCAGTGTGAATTTCATTAATCCGGGCAACAACAATAAGGGGATCGATAAGAATAATTTAGCAACGGTGCAAGGTGGCGCGGAGCAACCCCTCGCGGTGCAAACTGGTACAGAGCAACTCGTGCAAGTTTATCAACTTCCGGACGAGTTGGGGACAAACTATGTACAAAATCCTCAATACATCGTTCTTCCTCAAACTTATCCCGTTAACTACGTCGGTAATTACGTTACCGACAATTATGCATCGACCGTGTATCCGTATACGCCTCTCTCGTACTCGCCGTACAAAATTTGTTTCGAAAGTCCCGACAACCTACAGCCTATCGCGTATCAGTTAGTTTAAGTCCTTGATTTTGCAAATCAAACCGATCATTTGGTAGTTTAGTTAGCGTTGTATCTACTAACGTGGACCAAAAAAGTTCGTACAACTTGTTTCTTCTTATTTTTTATTTTTCTTTTTTTCTCTCGGATCGCGTGAACCGATTCTTACGATTTTTTAATTGTTTCGTTGGTCTTTCAAAGAGAGATCGTCTTGTTCTTGAAACGCGTTACGAACTTTTCGTCGACGGTAGTAGTGTTCTATAAGATAGTATTTTATATTTTTCTACAAATATCAATATCGTCCATATCTGTAATGTAACGATAAGAATTGGATCGATATTTATTTAATAAAACCTCGTGTGTTTGTTATACCGATTTCTTAAAAAATACCCTGTTTCTATCTTCTTTCAACATAATCGTTTTTAAATCGTGCAATTTTCAAATTTCAACATGAATCGTTCAGAAACGAGGCGAAAATTGAATTTGAAAAGAACTTTTCGTCGAATTTAATTTTTTCGTTTTCAGCGCTCGATTTTTTCTTACGAATTTTCGCAAACACGAGCGAGCTTTCGTTTTCGACTCGGCTCGTTTCTCGGGATTGCGGAAAGATTTCCCTCCCATTAAGTCGACCTCCCTCCTTAATTAGTATATTAACGCCAAAGGCGACAAAGTTTCGCGGAGAAAGCGAGTTGCGGTCGAACGACAACCGTGCGACTGAACGAAAATTCAATTTCAGACAATTTTGCCGGGGGCGTTAATTGACCCGAACGGAGAGAGCGCGCGAGGAGAATCGAAGGCTTGCGACCGGAAAAGGAGGGCAAACACTGATCGAGCAATTTCTGATTCCTCGACCCCCCAATAACTCCTTCTCTCTTTCTTTCTCGCATCACCCATCGTCTATCCCCTTTCTTGCAAATCGAATGCAATTCCTTCGAAACTCCAAGGGAGCAGGTCCTCGTTATTTCGCTATTTCTCACCCTCGTCGAAAGTGCAAACAACGAGGATAAAGGAATTAACTCTTAAACGTAACAAAGTTGGACAGAGATACAGCGTTTTTGGATAGCGAAGCAGTAGCAGTTTTGATGTATTGGAAATTTAATAATTGTGGAAATTCTAGCTTTTGCGAGACGAATTGGAGAAATTTGTTATCCGAAATGCGAAAGAACGAACACGGGCACCGGGGTCCTGAGAGATGAGCACATGCGATTACGCGATCCGTATATGGGGTGAGAGAGAAGGGGGATAAAGTCTGCGTTCACCGACGCGCTTTCACGTTGCGAAGAAGAGGAGGAGAAACGAGTTGAAACGTGGAAATTTTCGGTGAGAGAACATTCCAGGGCATCGTGGAGATTAATTTTCGCAGAGAGGGATACGCGTCTACTTACTTTTTGCTAACCGACCGAATTTAATTTTCCTTTTGAAGTGAAAGGAAGATGAGGAAAATTGGACACGGAGAGCGATATATTCGCGTTGTCAAAGAGAGATAAACGACCGATTTGAAGGGAATTGGAATGTTTTACGTTTGTCCGTGTGATTTAATAATTGGTTGGTGGGTTTCGCTGTCAATGTTGCGCGAATAAAGACGTGGCACCTTTTGTGGATATGAGAAATGTTCGCATCGATAATCCTTGAAAACCAACAAGAGATATTTTCACGGAAGAATCTTTGACTTCGAAAGAATCTTCGAAGAGCTTCAATGAGAACATCGATAAAGAAGATCGAAAATATTTTGGACAAGTAGACTTGTATAACTTGGAATATCTACATTTACAAGTAACAGTATATATCTATATTTATAAGTAAAAGTAATAGTTGAAGAAATAGTTGAACGAATCGTTTCGATTATTACTTATTCTTTTTGTTCGAATCGTAGTTTACTTTTTAATTTCCTTTTTAAATCGGGTAATAATAAGCAGCTTTATCGTTCGTTACAAAGCGCAATAAAAAGATAATAGGAGAATAAAAAATATTAATGATGGCTTGGAAGAAAGATATTAGTTAGAGATAAACGATGGAATTGCTTAATTAATAAGATCGAATAATGATCGACTCTTATTATTTACTTTTTACGAGAGAGTCGTAAACTCGTGTCGAGAATATGGTAGCGATAAAAAAAAAAAAAAATGCGTCAAGACGTTTAAAATACGTTGTAAAGTTGTAAAACGAACCGTAAAAGATAATAACGAGGCTATAGCGAGTAATTATCGACACTTCCTGCCGTATAATCGAAACTAAATTTCGTAGCAAACGAAACGGAACGAAAGCAACGTTTTCCGTTTTGTTCGCCACCGCGACGCGTTTACTCGACTTTCATTGCCCGCCAAACAATTGAGCGTTTTAATTTCACCGTGATCCTTGTATTTCGATCTGAAACGGCACGAGACTGCCAATTCTTCCCTCCACGATTGGATAGGTTACGTTTGCTTTTCAAACGATGCGGTTTTTTTTAGAAGCCCGAAAAAATTGAAACGTCAATGTTCCTTCTTTTTCTTTTTTTTTTTTTTTTTTTTTTTTTGCGGTAACTATTCCGAATTTTTATTTACCGAGTTTGTTCACAAAACGCTTTCTATATATATATCGTGTAAACATCGAATAGAAGCTTTTGGAATTGGAATATAACGTTTCTTTTTTTTTTCTTTCTTTTTTTCTTTCTTTGTTTTAATAGAGGATAAAGAGAAAAATATTTAAATTGCACAGCGAGAGAAAATATAATTGAAGAGAATCGTCGGACAAAAAAAAAAAAAAAAAAAAGGAAAAATGCAGTAACGAACAAAACGGTGAACGTATTGAAATATAACGTTGTGCTGAATTGAATGGCCAGACGCCATTATCAATAATGGGTAAATGGAACGAAAGTTTCACCGATGAAAGTTTTTTTTTTTTATAACTTCAACTTTTTCAACGCGCGTAACAATTTCGCTATGCAAATTAAACAGCCGACAGTTATTCATAAACGTTGCTCGACTACTTATTAAGAAAAAATGGCTAATTGATACGAAATCGATGGGGGGAAGCGGCTTTTATCGAGCGGAAATTGCGAATCATCCGCAAATTGTTCCACCACATTTACCATCCTACAACGGCCGATACAAGCTCACCGTTATTCTCCGTAACAAGTGGCTCCGAACGACTATAATTAGATGCTAGTTAAGGAGGGGATAGATATTTGCCAAACAAACTATCGATCGATATTTTGTTATCACTTGCAAGAAATTATTGCGTATGAAAGAACAATGAGAATCATAAACTTCTACTATGTTCAATTATTATTATTATTATGCACGCGTTTTTCGAAAAACATCTTTCTTCGAACGATTATTTTCAAAGAAAAAGTGTCACGAGTTCGTTCTCTCTTTCCGAATCCAAATTTTTCCAATGTTTCGAAAACGTAAGATAAAAAAGAAGAGAAACGCTGTTCAACATTTATTTTCGAAGTTGTAAACGCGAGTTAAAGGGAAAAGAAAAAAAAAAAAAAAAAAGAAGCTCGATTCCACGAAACATCGCGTTGGTCCAACCATCGCGAGGAGCAAACACACAAAGAGGAAAAATCTCCCGTCGGCTTTCAAAGCTCGCTGGTAGTTTCTCCATCTTTTCGAACGCTGGCTGCTGCGTTAATGTCAGAGAGCCAGTCCGCCAGATCCTTTACTATCGGTGTTTCTCGGCTTCTCGCCGCGTTCGCGATTCTTTCAGACGTCCACCAATCGGCCACCGCGACGCTACGTGCGCGCGCGATTCAAATGGCCAGTTAATTTATTTGATAATCCTCCCCCTCTCCCCATATGGAATCAATATCCCCATTTATTCTCGTTCTATTAATAATAAGTCAGACGCGAGAACGATGAAAGACGTTTTGCTTTTTCCTCTACTTACATACTCGGCGATATTCAACGATCGAGCAACGTGAGAAGCTGTCCTCGTTCAGGCGAACGAAAATAGAAACGTTACTCCTACGTCGAGTTTCACCTTGAAACGTAATTATTATCCGAATGTGTCTGATAATCGTAAGAAGAAGATTTTTGTCGTTACTTCATGTCCTCCTAACTTTCATACAAACCCTTTAACTCGAAACTTTGATCATAATAGAAGAATCAGCTCGCGTGAATCCGCAAAAACCTCTGCGAAATATTCCAACGTTAATATTCGCCAGCGAAACAGTTGAAAGAACTGTCCAACGCAGATTTCCAGAGAGAAAGAAACTTTATACCAACTATATATATATATATATATATATATATATATATA